AAAGAGGTGAAGATGAATCTTTGGACAGTTCCTATTTTAGCTCTTGCTTCTTTTATATGGGTTAAGCAATCCGCCCACTTGCAAAGGGAAAAAAAATAATGTTGGTGCTCTCTGCTTATCTAAATATTATGACAAGAGTCCCATGGTGTGCAAAAACAACAGTGTTAGCAGCTCCAACCACTGACTCATCTTTCAGAAAGAAGCACTATGGGGCCCAACACAAAGAACTGTCATCAGCTTAAAAGACCCAAGGCTGTCAAAAGGGTGTCACAGCCAAACTTCTGACTTTTAGGAATTTGCAAAACATGCTGGAAGCAGCTGAGAGAGGCAGAAATTCCAATTCTTTATCAAACCAAACCCAGGTTTGGCCTTCACTTTTTCTCTGATTACATGTCTCTATTTTCACGCACATCAAGACAGGGACGGTCCCTGAGAATGAGTTTGCTTTTTGTAAAATATTGTTGTACTCTAAGCAGAAGTGTCATCTTAACCAAACAATTAGGTGCTTTCTTCCTGTTCTACTACATACAAGTTAAATAATTTCTTCAACAAATAATTGATAATGAATAATCCCCAAAACCAAAACCCAGATATAAGTAACCTGATGAGAGATGGGGCACGTCAGAAGTGGAAGCTGCAACACTGAATCTTCCAATCTGGTCCTACACAACAGAAGACTGTATTTTGGACTGAGTACAGCATATACAGGGGCATAACATCTTTTGCACAGGCATCCTGGTCTTCAGAAGTTAAGCCATTCTATTTTAGCAGTGTCAGGGACCCTCTGCATCTACAGAGGGTGGGACAGGGTTTGGGCCCAAAAGCAAGATCCACTTTGTTTACATGATTTTGCTTGCCTTATTTCTATTTTCTCTGCTTTCTCTCTGGAATGCCCTAGTAAACTTTGGGGAGCAAGTGTTTAGGGGAACAACCAAGGAGTGAACCTCACCTGCACTGCTTTGCATCATTCTGATCCTCTTCCCTTTTGGTCTCTTTTCTTCCTCTTCCCCATCAGGACCCCCTTGCTCAGACCAGCCTGCCCATTCCATCTGGTCCCCCTCTTATATCCTTGTTCAGCTCTTGTCTGTGGCCAGGACATTCAAAAAGTTAGGTAAGTGTACTATCCCAGGTTCCACCTAATTTCAGGCACTCCCATTTTGAAAATGTTGACCTATGTGCCTTTCACTATGCTGTACCTCAGGCTTATAACAATCTCTCCATGTTGTATAGCAACTAGGTGTTTTATTCAGATTTTGGTTGAAAATATACTTCTCTTGTGAGATAGTTCAGCAAGACTCCACCAGAGGAAAAAAAACCCTGTTTCATGTTGAGACTATGCCTTCACATGGTTGAGGAGTACTATGCCTGACCTAAGCCTATGGGAATAAAAAGTATTTCTTCCTTTCTTTTGTACAGCCCTGAGCGCCAGGGGCAGATGCACAGAAAGGTCAGGGAGTCAGTCAGCTTTCCCAGATGTTCCCACCAATTAGTTAATGTATAGGCTCCTCCAATCCATGACTTCTTCCCCTGCATGACTGTTTCCTTCTCTCTTGCTTCAGGGACCTCCATAAACAACATTTCTGGATCTGAGCCTGCTGGAAACACAGCCAACTTGCTGACTGTTGCCACAGAACAAGAGCTGGTAAGTCACTGTTCCAGCTAAAATAATTTTTCTGGTATGTTGTTGAGATGCCTTAAATTAAATGACCTTGTAACAGCCCATGGGACTAATTTGCTTTAAGCTGAATATTCCCCACCCTCGGCAAGGGGAATTTTGTTTGAATGTCCTTGAATTCCCTGGAAGTATAGGAACCTACTCTGGCATGCAGCTAGACTAAACTTCTGGGTGTCTTCCAAGAACAGAACCTGACCTCTGATGTATAGGACTGCTGTCCTGCATTGCAAAACCCTTTGCCTTCAGTCGTGAACTGATCACTCCTTAACAGAACTACAAGGCAGGCTCAGATCAAACCTGTGTGATGTGAAAACAGCAGGATTATGGAACAAGCTGCACAGGTGAGTTGTGCGATCTCCTTCACTGGAAGTTTTCAAGGCAATTGTCTAGGATGAATTAGGAATGGCATATTCTGCATCCATACAGGGAGCTGGGCCAGAGGATTCTGAAGGTCCCTTTCAACCTAGTGATTCTATTTTATAATTTTGTCAGTGATGGCCTTATGTAACAACTTGATCTAACAGGTTTTCTTGGGTTTCAATTCGCAGCCATCTCCACTTAGAGCTTGAGCCTGTACACTTCACACAAGCAAAGTTCCTTCTTGCTATGTATTCATATTTTTCTTGCATTGACTTCAATGAAAATTTGCCTAAGAAAGATATAGATTGTCAATGTAAATGGCAATGATTGGCATAAACAATGACAAAAACATAATGTAATTTCATAGGCCAAGTTGTGGCCTGTGCCTGTGCTGTTCTGTGCATTGGTGAACCAGTATACACATAAGATATCTCAGTGAAATCAATGATACTTCTCATGTGACTTATCACTTGCTGATTTAAGTAAAGGTGTTGCTGTCTGTAAAAACCACAGACACATAAAATTAGCTTATTATTGTACTTAAACTGCCTGGAACCAAAACTACCTTTTGACTGTGTATAGTACACCCCTGATCGTTGATATAATGCAGGTAAAAATAATAGTAGAGGGAGTAAACTTAAAGTTGGTGCTAAACTTCTAGAACCACAGCAAATGCCACTAATTACTAGAAACAGCAATTATTAGAAGTCAATAGCACTTGCTAGTACCTCCATAAACAACATTTAATAAAACTGCCAAACCCTGGTTAATAGACCCATGCAGCAGAATTACTTCCTGATGCTAGAGAAGGTGGCAGTAAGTCAAAGTTAGTGAAGATGTTATTGAAAGAGCCTTGCGGGGTACCTTGCTTGCCTCTGCACTGATTACATTCTACCTCATGCCACCTAGATACCCATACATATTCAGTATCTACTGTTTACACTCCTCCATTAGGGTGCATTATCATGCAGTACAAACCCAAGGTGATTCAGAATTAAGAAACCCCAAATGAAGGAGTTAGGGAATGATTTGCTGTGTTTACCTTTTTTAAAAAAAATCATTATTTGGGCCCTAATGCCATGAATACTTGTAAACTTTAGAAGCAGGTCAAGGGAACTGCTTGCTTAGGCAAAACTACATGTGTCCCTCACAGGTCTCCGGCCTTAGCTTTTGCTTTTAGTTTTGCATGTTATGGTCCTCCTATGGTGAAATCGATGGAACTATGCCAATTTATACCATCTGAGGACCTAACAATATTTTTTGTAGGTTGCTAGTCAAATCTTTGTAGTTTTCCAAGTATATTATGACAGTCAAGTACTGCTAGCAAGAATATCATGAATATTTTAAACAGAAAACTGGTGTTCAAAAACCTTTGGAACTAACATTTGTAGAGAAACAGAGAAGACTGCAGATTAGCAGCAGCAACAGTCAGATATATTTTTGCCATAACAGTTGATGCAATCTCATCAAGTTATAGTATGATGCTGAAAAAAGCAACTATAGGCTTCCAGAGAGAACTTTCCAAGTAAACAAATCCATCCTAGCCCCAGCTGTCAGTTCATGTCCAAATGCTTATGAAGTAAGTTTGGCAAGGTTTATCCACCATCAAATCATGATTGTGCACAAAATCTTTGGTGCAAGGGACTACATATATCTGCACACTTTTATTTCTTAACAAATTGTATTTAGCAGCACAGAGTAAAATTTAAAGTTGCCTGTTTGCAGCAACCATTTCAATTGTATAAATAAAGAAACCACTGATATCCTTTTTCTCTTTTACTCTACACCTTATACACTACATGCACTATCCAGTGCCCTACCTATGTCATAACAATTCCAGCAGCTATTTTTGCATGTGTTTTTTCAGAATCAAAGACACAGCATAGTCCCTACATAAAAGAAAAGTAAATAAATGCCATAATGGCAGTTCTTTCCAACCACTCCAAAATTAAATTTAAGTGCTGAGTGTTTCACTATTTATCTTTTTAAAAAACTAAATCAACTGTATTAAGTTAAAAATATTATCTGTGTAAGCATGTGCAGAGTCATAGCAAGTTAACAGATCTGAAGTATGGCAAAGAAGTTTAAAGCATGCACATTTGAATTACCTTATTGTTTCTGAAACAAGAAAATTAATGTTGAAAAAGAGTCATGTCCTTGACTAAGCCTTAATTCAGAAAACCCCCAGCAGCATTCATCTCCCTCCTCTCCCTGGATGGCTCGATCTACTGCAGGGCAGCTTTGAAACACTCTCTCTTTGAAGCCTGGAGTTTATTTCTGGATCACCCCATGATCAACGAATACAAGCCAAAATATAAGTTGTTCTCAATCTCAGATTTCCTGTTTGAAGATACAGTGGAAAAACGTTTGCCCATCCTTAAATCCCGCTTTGTTGCATTAATCTGTAAAACTTCACTTCATCAAGCATCCTGTAGCTAAATGACACAAAGTTGACCTTTCTATTACATCATTATTTATTGTCTCTGGCAAGCAGACCATATATAGGCATGTTTCTGGAACTTAAAGAAGAAAAAAGAAATTGCAATGTAATTTTGAAATAAAGTATGTTGTCCTGGAGGGTTTCAGTATTTTGGAGGAAAGCCAAAGGTAGATTTTCTATGCACCTATTTTTCCTGTAGCTGCTGCCAATTAAATGGAGCAGGGCAAAAATAAGAGTGGAAGTTTGTTGATGTTTTATAGTGCTTTGTGATGCTATGAACTCTAAGACTTTAGAACTTCCAAAATACAACAAAATACTTGTGAGATAATGCCATGCAGTGTTTCATAAAGACTTACTGCTCTTACATCATGTAATCAGGAAAGAAAAGCCCTTTCTGTGGTATATGTGACATAGTGGCCATCTTCCTTGTATCTAGGCTGCACAGTGAGTTCAAAGAGGGATAACACTGATTCAGGAGTCATCTGAATACAGAGCAGATGGACACAGAATAACTAGGAATGTATACATTAATTAGCAGGGGGATTTAGAATAACTAGGGATGTATACATAAATCCACAGAGCTAGGCTGGCTGGAAGAAGAAAAACAGCACTTACCTTAGGCCAAGAAGGACCAATAATTATTTGTCCAGAGGATGCCAAGTTGCAGTGCATGGTGGGAAAAGGCATGCTTCAGACTCTTTCAAGATCAACACTCCTTCTCCCAGCACTTACTAGGTTAATTCCATTTGCAAACCAGAGATAGGTGGGCATTAGAGGTGTGCGAAGTGGGCCATATTTGATTCGGATTCAGATTTGGCCCAAATCGGGGACAGTGATTCGATTCATTGATTCGGTTCACTGTCCTCAGTTCGATTTGGCCAAATACAAAGCTGAAGATTTGATGCTGATTCAGAGAATCAGTGATTTGGCCATAGACGCTACTTTAAATGTTTTTTCTACATACCTCAAGGTACCAGGTGCAGCTTGTGAATGCTGTGATGCTGGGGCGGATGGAGTATCCCACAGCAGTGCAGGGGGGGCCCCCACATGCTCGGCAGTGAACCCAGCAGTACTTCCAGGTCCACCGGGGAGCACGCGGGGGGGGCCCAACGCATCCCTCCAGCTCAGTGATCAGCCAAGGGGGGACCTTGGATGCTCCCCCAGACCCAGGAGGCACTGGTCATCAAACCAGGAGGGTACGGGGGCCTCCCCAGTGGGTTCCCCAGTGGACCCAGAAGTGGACCAGAAGTGCTTCTGGTCCACTTCCGGGTCTGCTGCTGAGCGCGCTGGGGAGCCCTTCGTGTTCCTGTGAGACACTCCATGCGCCCCAGCATTGCAGCATTCATGAGCCGCCTGGTACCTTGAGGTATGTAGAAAAAACGTTTAAAGCTGCGTCAATGTCCGAATCGTCAAATCTCTCCGAATCTCTCCAAATCACTTCAGAGGCTCCCGATTCGATTCAGAGAGATTAAAGGGTTTCCTGATTTGATTTGTATTCAGAGATTCGGCCACTGAATTGGGCCAAATCTTCTGCCAAATCGCATCAAGAACCAAAGCTTCGCACAGCCCTACTGGGCATACACCCCAGATCAGTATGGAGCTTTCCTTCATCTGAACATGCATTGTTGGTCCTCAGCCTGGTGGATATTTATGCTATTGGAGCACAAATACTCATCAGTTTATGGCTCAGCACTGATGATCATGAATGGAGCCAATTTAGCAGTGTCACACTATTAATCCACACTGAGTTACTATCCTTTATGACTGCTGGGTGTTAGTGCTGAACTACTCTAATACCTGTTTCTGTTCATATTTGAAGTATTCTACCGCTGATGCTGTCAGGGAGAGAAGCCATGCTGCAGGTGCCAGGATGGTTGAAAGCTCACATTCCTTTGACATTCATCTCAGGAACCTGCTCCACACCTTCAGATATGAAGAGAACTATCCATGTGCCAATCCACTCTTCTGTGCAGAAAAGGGGCTCAGCTGCTTCACTGGCACTGTCCCCCCCTGCCCATAATCTTTGTCTTGGGTCCTTGTCTTTGTCAAAGGTTGAGGTAGTTCAGAGTGGGAATGGTTGGAGAATGGAATGCTGCAGACCTTGGCAGAATATAGATCATTCCCCATTCAAGCCACACAGGGAATACAGAAAGGAGGATCCATCAGAGATACAAAGCTGGTGTAGAAACCTGGGACTCCAGCAGGCAATTTTGGAATCCCACAGATTCTCTTAAGCCCAAACAGACCCCAGAGAATCCATAGGGTTTGTGGAGTTAGAGTACAAGTAGAGAGAACGGCCAGTGAGAACCCCATGGTGATCTCGCCCCCTCTGAAGGTGCTGGGGCTCCTGATTCCACTGCCCAATGTTAGGGCCAAACCTGGCAGCTAATAGTCAGAATTTAAACAAAGGAGAACCCCTACTGCAGAGCAGTGCTGGGAACAACAGGTTTGGAAAAGTGCTTTAATATTAGGTAGAAATTACTCACCCTTTGCTTTAGCAGTGCAGTTTCACAGCAGTTTGTCTTCAGTGACCTTCCCTATCAGCACTGGAACCAACCTGCAAACAAAACACTTCATTACTGCATCCTGGATAAATATTCATAAATGCAATACACTTTTCTTACTAGTTTTGGGGATTTTGGTGGCAAAGTGGTCACTTGCTGTGACTCCAAGGACCTGAAATCAAGCCCTATTTGAGACTCAGGTCAAAGGCCACGCCCCAGTTGACACAGTTACAAACCTGGTTATTTGGGCTGGAAAGATAACTGCTGGATGTGACTTTGGCCCAATCACACCCTTGTGGGTTACTGGTTAAGAAAATGGACCATTAGGCTCAGGAGGACACTTGACTTGACGCTTTTACTGGTCTTACACCTTGCAACGTATAAAGACACAAATGGCAGGATCAAGCCTTACTTAATATTTGCAAAGTATTGTTGTTACCTCAGGTGAAGGTACTTTAGAAGTTCAAAGCTTCCAAATATACAGATATAAAATGAGATAAATTTGTTTTCATTTTCCAATAAAATAAAGCTTTACACATCCAAAGCATAATAACCATCATTTATTAACATTACAGAAAAAAATCACTAATATTTTCCCAAGAACTTATCCAGTTATAGATCTTAATTTAGTGCTTATTAATCCTAAAATATTTCCAAAAGATTACAAACTGGCATCTGCAGAAATAAATACATAAAGTCATGCCATTTTCTGGAACAGTGTTTACCCTGATGCTGCATATTCATATCAGTTTGCTTTCCCTTTAAATAGAAAAACATTGCCATTAGCCAACTCATGCTGGCAGGGGGAAGGATCAGCTGGGGTCTCAGGAACAGGGTTCAGAAAGGGGGATCTGCTTCTGGAGAAAGAGGAAGAGAACAGAACAAGTGAGAACAGCAATTTGCTAAATAAATGACAAAATTCTTTGTGTTCTTCCTACTTCCTCCAAATTTGCCACAGAAGTTGTTTTATAAAATCATCTTTAACCTTTGCTTCAACTTTCAATTTTCTTGCATACTCTTGTTTTAACTAATCAGTTCCCTTAACCACCAGTCTTCTTCAGGAACCATGAGTAAGGACCCAGCTAAGAAGTGCAGAAATGAAATTTGTTCACACAGCCCAAGAGACTAGAAAACATTGTATCAGTTAATTCTAGGTGCAGTGTCAACAACTAAAAATATTTTTGCTTTTTCCTGGTTAAATGCCTTCATATACTCTTCCTATTCACGCTGATACCAGTATTAGTGATGCCTAAACCAAGTTGGACCATTAGCACCACTGAGGATAGGTGCAAACATTAAACTTTTAGCGGTATAAGTGATCAGAATCTGGTCTATAGCCATAACAGAACAGGAGTTTGGCACACAAAGGCAAGATTTGCCCCCACCAAAGGGCGGAGGTGTGTTCTGTTCGCTACAGTTTAGACTACACCATTTACAGAAAACTGTAACTTAGATCGATTCCACCTTAGGCTTTTTGAATGTCTGTACCTAGCCTGAGAGAACAAAAGCATGATGAACTGATCCAACTGACAATTGTCCCTCAAAGACACTGTGCTTCCAGCAGGTAACCTAACCACTTCATTTTAGCCCACTGTTCAGATGTTATAGTTATACAGTATATGTAGGAAGTGAATAGTGAAAGACAAAGGGAATATGAGATGCAAAAAGATCTAACAAGGGAGACCTCTTACATTATGCACTGGCAGAACAGCTGTCTGCTTCAGCTTTCTACTTGATGTTACTTCCTTGTGGCAGTTTAAGCAGAGCATTTACTAAAACTCTTTCTCTTCCATAGCATCCGCAGTGATATTTGGAAGTGCGAGGCTGCTCGTTGGTTACCTACAGCTCTTCTAAAATCGTGTACATTCTTTAAGTGCAATGCAATTTAGATACCGTATTTCACTGAGAAAACAGGTATAGTGTACATACCCCATACCTTTGTCATGGTCCTTTCTCTGCATTTGATACTAGTTCCTACTCCTATTCATGTTAATGTCACAACTCTCATCAAATTCTACTGGCAGCTGGTTTATATTGGTTGTACTGGTAATATTTCACTGCCAGCACATGTTCCCCCAGATTAAGTGCAAAAGGAAAAAAAAACAAATGCAGCTCTCTGGCCCCCAGCCCTTCATCTCAACACGCCCAGATATCACATTCTTTTAAATTAACAAAAACAACCTATGATTTTCAAGAGGTCATCAGATTGTTTTAGATGGATTTTTAATTGCATGTCATTTGAAAAATGTTTGCCTTCTATTTAAGGTTCATTGTCACTTACAAAACTTAAAAATGAATTTTTAAGCTTAAAGAAAGGTTGCATTGCCTGTTCTAATTTGTATATTTAGAATTATATTAGCAAAAAACCACCAAGTGATGATCAGTAGTATTGAAATACAATCCTGAAAGACAAGATATAGTATTTCACAATGCTTTGAACTTATCAACTTATCAACCCTAGCAGGGGAAGTGAATGTATATTATTATCCCAATATTATAACGGAAAAAGAGAGGCAGAGAGATGAAAGGCAGAACCACAGAAAGAGTTGGTGTCAGGTCCAGGATGCAGTACAGAACTCTGGAGTTCCTGGCTCTTATACCTGTAAAACAAATCATTCCTCCCTCTCACCCAGAGTCAGTCTTTATCCCACATTGCCTCTAAGATCTTATCTAAATAACAAGGAGATCAGAATTTCCATAGATTAAAAAGTTTTCATTTTTCTTCACATTGTAGAGGTGTTACTAAGAAGTGACTGCTTTGGATGTATGGATGTAATAGTGACAAAGACGCAGCGCCGCTTGTACTGAAGATGTGTGACACAAAACATGTCAAAGCACAGGTCATCCCTAAGCTGTGATTATTTGCAGGTGTAGACACACCTGCTGTGTATACGTGACTGAATATACTCCAGCTCAATTTGAGCCAGATTAAACTAATCCTGATGTCACCATCTACAGGTGCATTTAACTGCAGTAATTTATTGCAGCACTGGATAGTACCCGTGTCTGACAGGAGGGCCACCTGCATGATCCGGGGACAGCAGGGCAGACCCTTCAATGAGAGGCTACAGGACCTGAACCTGTTCAGCCTTCACAAGAGAAGGCTGAGGGGGGACCTGGTGACTGTCTATAAACTCACTAGGGGTGACTAGAAGGGTTTGGGGGAGACCTTGTTTCCCCTAGCGCCCCCCGGGATAACAAGGAATAACGGCCACAAGTTGTTGGAGAGTAGGTTTAGATTAGACATCCGTAAGAACTACTTCACAGTTAGGGCGGCTAGGATCTGGAACCAACTTCCAAGGGAAGTGGTGCTGGCTCCTACTCTGGGGGTCTTTAAGAAGCGGCTTGATGCCTACCTGGCTGGGGTCATTTGAGCCCAGTTTTCCTCCTGCCCAGGCAGGAGGTCGGACTTGAAGATCTACGAGGTTCCTTCTGACTCTACTTCTATGATTCTATGATTCTACGACTATCCTATGCCAGAGTAAATTAATCTACTATGCACTAACTGGGGCATTCTAATTGAGGTGATGCTTTACTGAACATTAAATTAGCCTAATGCACAGTAAAGTACATGTGTAGACATGCTCAGCATGTGTTATTTCTTGCTGGCTCTGCTCTCTCAGGGTTTGATGTTGCAAAGATTTATGCATAGTGGACAGACTCCCCTCTAGTTCCACCAGTTCTGTTATTCAACTCAGAATAGAAGCCTAAGGCCTTGTTTCTCCTTTCCTATCGAATTTACACTAGAGTAGATGCCTGGTGTTGTGTCTGCATGAGATGCTGACTGCGCATTTGTTACTGTGTGTTCATTTAGTACACAAGTACTAAATGAGCTACTGTGTAGTCAACATTTCGTATAGACATGACCAGTGTGTGATTTCTTTTAAATCACATACATCAGCTTCCATGCAGTTCTTGACAGAACAGGGCTTTAATCCAATGGCAAGGAGGCCAAGACTACTGGATATCTTGTTCCACTGCAGCCTTCATCTGCCTTTAGTGCCATTGAGATTCTAACATTGTCTTCCTCCTGCTTCACTGTTGAGGACTTGTAGACTTGTGGGTCGGGGCTGGACAGGCTTATTATAGTGGCAGTCTGTATTTACCATGTCACAGCACAGTCAGAGGATATACGTGGATTTTCAGGAGGGAAAGCATTGCCATCTGCTGTTCCCGGTGTATTCTAGTGGTGTTGCTGCTGCTTGGTCTGTGACTGCTTATTCTTCAGAATTACCCCTGCTTATTTCACAGGTAACCTTCCCTGAAGATCATTCTGCTATCCACCACCTGTGGATGTGCTTGGTTTTAGCATAGTTCTGCTTAGATCTGCAGCATATCGCTTCTCGATATTCATTATCGTGATGCTACATCTGACCGCCAACAAGCTTCCAGTAAGAGTGGAGCTAAACAACCGAATGGATGGTGAGCTATTTAACCTCAGCTGATTCCAAGCCAAGGCCAAGACTACCCTGACCTCAATCATTGAGCGCCAATATGCTGATGATGCTATATTAGTGTATGATCACTTGACAGCAGATCGTCAGGCAATCGTTGATGTCTTTACTGAGGCTTACAAGAAAATGGGACTGATGCTTAACATTCAAAAGACTAAGTTACTCCATCAACAAGCTCTTAATGAGCAATCCCCAGCTCCAGTCATTCAGATTTACAGTGAGACTCTGGAGAACATTGAGTATTTTCCTACCTTGGAAGCTATCTCTTGAAGAAGGCTGACATCAATAAAGAAATCCAAGATTGCCTCAAATGTGCAAGTGCAGCCTTTAGATGCCTGAGGAAATGGGTGTTCAAAGATTATTACATTAGATTCAAAACAAAGTTCATGGTTTATCAAGCAGTCCTGACCCCTACCTGACTGTACAAAGCTGAGATGCAGACAATGTACAGAAGACACCTTAAGTTGCTGGAGAAGTACCATTAATGGTATTTAAGAAGATCCTTTGAATCCAGTGGGAAGACAGAACACCAACATTAGCATTTTTTTTAACGCAAACACCATGAACATCAAGGTGATGATCAATAGACATCAGCTTCACTGAGTTGGCCACATCATCCAGATGTCTGACTCCAGACCCCTGAAGCAAGTTTTATTTTCCCAGCTTAGTCAAGAAGTGCAGAGAAAGCACTTCAAGGATGTTGTCAAGACCAACTTGAAAAAATGCAACATAGACAACTTGTGGGAGACTATTGCCCAGGACTGCCCCAAATGAAGGAAGAGTCTGCAGCAAGGCTTTCAATACTTTGAAGCCTCACAACAGCAACAGGAGATGGAAAAGTGGGAGCAGCAGAAACAGTGTGTTGCGAACCAAACCAAGAATCCAGAGTCTCCCACCCTTCACAGAAACACATACCTGAGTTACAATAGGACCTTTCTACCCTAGATTGGCTTTATCAGCCATCTTCAGACTTACAGATAAGACAATCATGGAAGACAATCATCTTCAACTGCGAGGGATTGCCAATGCTGGTACTAGAGTGTGCCCTTGTGGCAGAGCACAATAGGGGTAGGGTGGGCTGCAGCAGGCTAAGGTGGTGCCTGCATGGAAGACAGCCTGGCACCACCCTGGAGGTCTTATTTTAAGGGAGAAGGTGTGTGGTGAAGCACCAGTAGGGTACTTCCCACTTAAGGACTATCAGAATGCTCTGCCACTTTAAGACCTGGATTAGGTAGCAGGCAGGTGCGGCCCAGCTGTGACAAGTGGCCATTTTAAGCTTCAGGCCAGCAGGGTTGGAGGCAACAGTTTGCTGCCAGACACTGAGGAAACAACATTTCCTGTAGGAGCTGCTGCTCCAAGAATAACGCGGAGGTAAGGGTGAGTCTATGGGGAAGGACAAGGCTTCAGTGGTCCTGGGCATGACCTAAAACTGCACCCTGCCAGGATAGGGAGGCCTGGTGGTCCTGCCTGAGGCGGGGCAGGGCCAGAAAATGCACGGACCAAGAACCTCCCTGATGCAAGACGGGTTGGGGTGCCTAAACCCCTGCCCCCACCACCTGGTGGGTAATAAGAACATCGATGGGGCATAAGGCCGAGAGGGTGTAGTGGGCCAGGCATGCCCATGTGGGGCTCCTGAGTCTGTTTGGGGTGCAAGACCCTGGTAAGAGGGAGGTGGGAGCCAGGCATGCCCATGGGTGACACCTGAGCCCTTTAGGGTGTAAGACCCTGGGGAGCAGTAGGGCCGGGCATGCCTATGGGTGACACCTGAGCCTGTTGGGGTAGAAGACCCTGTAGGACCTGGAAAGGGGTGAAAAGAAGGGAGGCCCTGTGTGTGCCTCCAGAGAGGAGGCTGGGTGCTAGGCCAGGAAAGGAAGACCAGGTGTGTGCCTCTGGGAACTAGGCTGAGAGTATGCTGAGGCCCTGAGAGCAGGGGGAGGATATGTTGAAGCCCTGAGAGCATGGGGACATGAGTTGAGGCCCTAAAAGTAGGGGGCCTGAAGAAGGTCCAGGTAAGCCTTCGGGCACCTGAGGCCATGGGTGGGCCAGAGTCCGATTCAGAGGCGGCAGAACAGAAGCCACAAGAGAAAGGGGTGAATCATCAGACCCTGATTGGAAGCAGCTGGGGTATGTGACCGGGACAAGAGACCTGGGGAGCTGTTGGCCCAGTGTTTTGTTAATTGCTCAGTTCCAAAAGACTGTGCCAGAGCTGACTAAAGACCGAGAGGACAAGCCTGATGATCTCCCTGGAGTAGGGCAGTGTGAATGTGGCCCCGGACAGGGCGGTGCGAAAGAGACTGGGTGAGAGTCGGTGGAGTGTGAGAGGCCTCGGTGAGAGGGAGGCGGTATGTGTATGGCCATAACAGGGCAGCATGAAAGAGGCTCAACACTGTGCAGAGTTGGGTCTGGCCTCAGGCCAGAGCATAGCACAGCTGTTGGAAACATCTGTGAGGCATGGAATAAATGTAGGGATGGTTGGAGCATGTAGATTGGCCCTTATCATTGGGGCACTCAAAGGGCAGTCTCCCGCCTAATTACCAACATAATTATCTTTGATCAAGGTGTGGAAGGAAAGTAGGCAGGTGGCATGCCTAGAGCCAAGTGGGCGACCAGGACTTTGACTGGTTGAGGAGTTTCCACTTTTCACAGTCCTATAATTTGAATGGACTGACTCCTGATTTACACTGGTGGAATCAGTGCAGGCTTTGGTTCTGTGCTTTAGCACAGAGGTACAATGCACTCTGTCACTTTTGCATAGCAGCTTCCTACCACAAGTGTTTGTATCTCAGTTACAGTCAAAAGGAAGTTTTTACTCATTTGGAGGCAGAACTCTGGTACCAACAGGAACAATATGTATCTGAATTCCTTAAGCCATTTTAGCTGCTTGCTGACTCAGGCTAGACCTGATGGACAGTAAATCTGGAACAAACCCATCACTATTACAGTCTCAGCCTCTCTCTGCAAATATCATCATAAGGTCATATGCACAGACTCAAAATGAAAAGGGAATAAGGTAAAGGAGAACATGAAATTATGATGCAAAATGAACAAAACTCCAAAGTCTATGTATACAAATACATGTTCCTTGGGAGAGAGGTAAAAATTGTCTTTCTGCTATTTTTTGATGGGCAAATATCATTTATATTTTATGAGATTTGGCAAGAATTCTAATAAAAAGATTTGTTCTTTTTCTTGACCTTTCAGAAATCAGAGGTAAATAGATTTGGTTAGCTAAGCACCCATTCTTTAGAGGGCAATAGAGAGAAGGAAGAGGATGAAAGTGATAATAAAATGAGACACATAATATTACCAGTAGAATGGTATATGATGTTTTATTGTCTATCTTGACCTCCCTGTCAGTGACAAGACAACAACAGGCCTGCTACATCTCAGAATGAGTTTTCTTTTAATTGATAAAAGTAATAAAATTAAGTCATGCGGGTGTTTAATGAATCCTGAGGCAGGTAAGACAATATGTGATTAACTTAAAGTGCAAGTTAATTTAAATAATGACTATACACATGCTTGGAGTTAAATATAAGCTTAAAGGCTTTAAGGAATGTAAAAAAAACCTAACTAGACTAGATTAGAGGGCACTGCATTGTCATCCCTATGTATTGATTTCTGGGTGTGATATAAATCTAAAACTGACATTTAAAATGCAGTTCAAACAAACTCTTCCTTTCAATTGTGGCTGAGAAAGACACTGAAAGTGGCTGACACAGCTTAGTTATCCTCTACCAGCTACTTTGAATATAGATGAGAAGGCAACAAGAATTGTACTTGTTTTAAATTCAAATCATAATGCAACAGATTTATTTTGCAGAGCTGACATTTAATTGTTTGCCCTATATCTTTCAGGAGGAGTTAAATTTAGCTCAAGTGTCTGGACACAATGTCATATGACACCATATATCTCTTGCACAACATGCCACAGGAACGAGTAACGTGTAACTCAGTTAAAAATAACTATATGCTTTGCTAATTCAGCAGGCTCCTGGATTCCATCTACTTCAATGATAAACAGACTGTACAATAACAAGGAGACACAAATATACCAGGGGAAAGACTGAGCAGCACACCTCCCCTTTCTTTTTTATATTAATTCTTTCTTTCTGTTTGGAATAAGTACTAAATCTTCCATTGTCACTTATTTAGGACTACTTCAGTATATGCTTATAATTAGTAATATATGTGTATACATATGCATGTATGTGTATATACATAGACATAGACAACTGGTGCCTCCCGAGTCTGGGGAGGCACCAGATCGCCAATGGTGGGGGGAGGGGGGGTGTTCCCCAGCTGCTGATCACCGACTGGGGGCGGGTGTCCCCCAGCAGCTGGTTGCCAAGCCAGCGGGGAAACTAGAAGTGCACTTCCAGCAGCACTTCTGGTTTCATGGCTGGAGCCTCCAGGGGGTGCACAGCTAATCTCAGGGGGTGCACATGCACCCGTGTGCACCCCCTACGTGTCACCAATGTATGTAGGGACCTACTTAAGTCGTGGTGACACTACAATTTTTGCGGGATGGTCATAGCATAAACAGCAAGTTTCACAGATATTTCCTGGATATGCTCCACCAGCCCCACCCTCAGCACTGATTGGCGCAGAGGCCCCAGTGGAGAGAGGAAGGACAAGAGGGAGCTGCCATTTTGTCTGTTGGCTGCCCTTTGTGTGGCCCTGCCCCGCAGTGATGATTGGTGGAGAGGCCCTGGAGGGACAAGAGGGATGGGCGGGGCGGCCGCCATCTCGTCTGCTGCAATTCTTGCCATGACAGATAGACAGATAGATCTATATAGACAGACAGATAGATCTATATATATAGACTAGATGTGTAGTAAGGTATCGTTTAATACAACTAAGAGTGATCAAATCTGACCCCAAAACAAATTATAGGAAGCTTCTGCTTTTGTTTTACTTCTGTCTAGAGTCTACTGAAGCTTGCAGGGAAAACTCAAATAAGGAAAAGAGGATTGCACAAATGGCAAAACAACCAAACCAAATAACAAAATCTATTTAAATGCATTAAGGACAAACAGAGAAGTAAATGCAACAGCATAATTAAAGCTGTAGCGCTGACCTGAATTTCACCTGACATTTCTAGATTGGTGTCACACACTTACTATGATATAAGTGCATAGTTTTTTTTTCCATTGCAGCTGTAGTTTTACCTTGTCTAAACGTGTCAGATAAGCCAGGCTGGGCCCTTTTTATCAGGCTGGAGATGCAAGAAGGAGCATATTTTTATCATCTACCCCTACATATCTATCATCAGTATTTCTAAAGCATCCGCTCCTAACATTCTGACACTTAAGAATTGTTCCCTGTTGATAAGTGTTGAACTAATGTCCCAGCCTTAGCTAAGATACTTTATGCTGCTAGAAGTACTGTGGTAGAACCAAGTGTGGTTCTACTGAAATCAACTGAGATGTTGCAGTTTACCCTAAGTGTCTACTTCTGGTCATTAGAAGAACACTGATAAGTAGTAATTTATTGGCAGCTTTTGCTAAAATGATACTGTAGAGTTAATAATAAAATTATGTAATAATAAAATTACATGATTTGTGGTTCTCGGTAAAAGCCTACAATCGAATCACTCAGTCTACCTATTTAAACAAAAATTAAACTGAACATAATATATGATGATACAGAAAAATAATTAAAATGAAAAAGATAAAATAGATAAAATAGTACAATAAAAACAATAAAAAACGGAGAACTTTATTTGATTCTGGCCCTTATTCTTTGTGCAAGTAGTACAAATATGCCTACAGAATATAGGACAAGCTGTAAGCTGTTAGAGAGGAGCCAAATTGTTTTTTCTTCATTAGTCCAGTACTTGAAACTTTCCATTAATGAAGAGATCCATTTCCCTCTTATTTCTTCAAAGAATGAACAAGAAAACAAATAGAGACTAGGTCACCTATCTCATTATGCCCCCAAGGACATATCTTGTCTGAATATTGGGTCTGACACCACTCCTCACAATGACTGCAGATCTCATTAGAGTTCATTACAGTTTTGTAATGGCCTATAGGGCCATGTCCACATGTGGCATGGATGTTTGGTTCCCCCGGGACAACTAGCAGCCCTGCACCTTGTGCTACTGCTAGGTCTCCCTGGGGAATGTCTGTGCCATGTGCACTCTGGTGCATGGCAAGTTACCCCGGGGGCAGGAGGGGAGGCTGGGGCCAGCACTAGGCTGGCCCCAGCAGCCTTACCTGGGGTCCTGGGGGCCTCCCAAGGCTGCAGCAGTGGCAAGTGTGCCACACAGAGCCTGGCTGGCAGCTACAGTGTGGCTCCGGGCGGCCCTGCTCCGCTTTTTAGTGGTACATGCTGCCTGTGCATGCACTGCTCCACTTCTTTTCTGTGTGGGTTTTTTGGATCCCTAGATATCCAGGGCCAAAAAGACCCTCTGCGCTGCTCTCTTGCAGCACAGGGAACAACTGAATGTGAAGTATGTGGCGCCACAGAAGTGTCTGTGGCACCATATAATGCACAGCCGCACTCGTCTGCACGTGGGCTAGTTGTTTGCCCTAGAAACCAGATAGATAGGTTTCTAGGCCAAAAGAGGCTTGTATTAATTTTTTTTTAAAAAGGGAAGTTTGAAAAAATGTCAGTGCCAGCACATCTGTCTGCATTCTGGCATCTTTAATTATTAGATGAAAACTGAAAGCTCTGACCACATGTGATCAATAACAACTAAATCTTGCTTCTCCCTGAGCTCTGACAGATGTATAGCTCCCTGCTGTGACTCATGGTGCTTTACAGCAAGTGCCATGACTTACAGCGCCCTCCCCCACCCCCCACCAACCCAACAGACATTAACTGTGGGCTTGGGGGAGGAGGGGGAAAAATTGAACTCCACTTTGGAGCCGATCCAGGAGAAGCTGCATGTCTGCACCCTTTGTCCCCAACCCTGCCCCCAGCCACTTCCCAGCTCTGGTGCTCTCTGCATGATGAGAGGGGGAGAAGAGAGAGGAGGGAGCTCTGGCAGTGGTTTGCCCAGCCTGTGCTGGAGGAGGGGCAGTTGGATTGGAGCTCCCCCTCCTCCTTGGGACACCAATCCACCCATCTTGGGTAGTGCTCCAATCCACCCGCCCCTATGAAGGCTGGGAAAACCCTAGCCCAGAGCACCCTCCCTTCCCTTCTCCCCCTCCCATCATGCAGAGAGGATCAGAAGTGGGGCAGGGCTGCATAAGCTCACTCCCAATCAGACAGAAGTTAATGAAGGCACTCTGCTTTGGAGCACCTGCATCTGAATCCTCATGTAACAAGTGTTAATTTGTCACACAACTGGGCACCTTTAAAGTGCTCTGCAGCCATGCCCTACAGGTGTCAGGGCATGGCTGTAGAGTGCTTTCAAGGGGATGATTGTGTGACAAATGTCACTTCTGTCATCACCCTCTATGCGCCTAAATGGCCTGTACATCTGTGTGACTGCAGTGTTTGTCACTGGCAGTCTCAGATTCTATATTCCTCTATGCACAACACTCCCATGTTTTAGCACAATATCCTGGTGGTTAGGGCACAGGGACTAGGAATCCCAGATTCTAGATGCTCTTCACTCTCTAACTGCAAGGACACAGAATACACAATGCATAGACGCATCTCCAAAGCTCCTCTTGAAGCTGGCCCAATGCACCTTGCATTCAGCTATTGGATAAAATGGATGAAGAGCAGTGGGGAAGTTATTGCACCATTGTAACCAAGGACCCAGGTTAGGACCCAGGGCCCCTCCACCCAGGACAGCAGCCACCTTACTGAGCCACACAAACTATAACTTGAACTTTTCCTCCTGGACCCATGTGTGTGCCTTATTATTGGCTCTTGCGCTATGTCACAAAGTACTTGCTCAGGTGCAGAGCAGTCCTACTGGGCATGCTCAGTGGGTGCCTGCAAGTTTACATACTCAGAACTGAATCACAAACTGGGCATAAGTGCTAAAAACTGCAGTTAGATGGCTGTGTACATACCATATAGGCTTATAACTTGTGAAATAGGATTTAGCCCTAAATATTCCATGGCACTTTTACAGGACTATGGATAAACAATGTAGGTAGCTAAATTCTGCCTGCCAACGTTCCCTAAGTAGTTTGAGATGGATGCACAAAAACTGTTTATGAAGTGGTCCCAGTCTAGCTTAAGTACCGCATAAAATGTGGAATTTGGTACCCTCCATGCAGCATCTGGGAAAGGAAAGGTTTGTGTTTCAAGGGATTAGACACTAGATAAAATGGGCTTCCTCTAGGTCACCAAGCCAACTCTAGCCTAGGACTGATCAAAAGTAGGCACCAGCCAACAACTGTACAGTAAAATATGGAAGATAAATTAGCAATGAACAGATACTCGTGTTACAAAGACCAGCGTAACAGTCAGAAGTGACAGCCCCTTGAGGTAGTTTCTGTGTAAAGGAGTCCTTTCTACCTTGAATGGTTCCCTCAAGAGAGGTGAAACACGTTATCATGTTGGTGTGGGGAAGTTTTTACAGTACAAGCTGTACCCGCTCTACAGATGTGAGAAGACTTGGCTCTGTAGGGATAACAATAGAGCACTTTTTACAAGAATATGAAACATATGAAAAAAGTATTTTTTTCTTTCTTTTTAAGGGGGAATTTTCTGCTGAAGTGTTGAGTTCCATTTGACTGGGTTAGGTTGTCCTGTGTGGTTTCATTATTATGAGAACAGAACAAGTTTAGCAGTCTGAAGCAAATTACTATGCATGTCTGTGTTCACACACCTGCACACATTATATCAAGGGCAATTTATTAAAATGCACTTCAGAAGGAATCATATCATGATTTAACAAACTATTCATCATGACAATATTTTTAAATGGCACTGTACCTCAGCCATGTTCATATTTAAAATAGAGTCCTTTTATCACGGATTAATCATTTGCCTAATTTCATTCACTGCTTTTCAAATATACAAGAATTGTAAAGCTGAATCAGACCTGTGGCCAGTTTAGATTAGCATTTTGTCTCTGCTTTGGAGAACTGTACAAGAGCAGAGATGGGATAACTACCCCAGCAGCAATGCTTCCTCCTAACACCTGTAACTAGTGATTTGTTTAAATCCTGATGCCTGAGGTTTTATAACCCTCCCAGAACTCTTGAGTTTTAGTAGCATTTCTTTATATTTGTGTTTCAGTTTAAATGTCCATCTTACACTGGCTGAATTCTCTGTTTCAGTGGTATCTTGTGACAACAACTTCCACAATCTTATTATAACAAGACACAGAACAAGCATTGCATTTCTGTAATTCCCACTCTTGTCCACAGAATAACCCCCTGCTGTGCATATAAGCAGGAACTGAACCTCAGCTCTTGAGCACTAAATGCAGAAGTCTTGAACACTTGAAACATCCTGAAGCCAGAGGCAAGCTGACAGTTACTAGAGGAAAAGACATGCACTAATGTAATGTATTATATATAAATTGGATATGGCAAATGTGCAAATGGCATTGGTTCAACTATTCACTGATGAGTTTAAATCTGTAGAGGAAATTTGTGGCTAGGTTTAAAATAAAAGCTTCCTAAAAATCTCCACTCCTGCAAACAAGCTTTATGACATATGCCTCACTATGGCTGCCTGGGCAGGGCCCTATAACGTTAAACCAATGCATCCTAAGTTACATTTTTATTTGACAGAGTATGATCAGAACCAACACTCCTGTGTCATAAAAAAGAAATAGATGTTCTGTAGATATTTTAAATCAGGATTAAAAATAGTTTCTGGTTATTGGATTGGTGTTTGGGGTATGAGTAGGAGTGGCGTGATTATAAACTATTTCTATGAGTTCTCATTGTAAAAGGAAAAAAAAAATAAAACTTCTAGAGTCACTTGAGGATGCTGAACCCTGTCATGTGACAGGGGAATGGGACTTTATAATCTTGTTCCCTACCACAAGGCTGGGTTCAGGATCAGCCCAGTATTGCTAGCAGTCACACCTGTATGAAGGAACCAGTAGAGCCAAATATTGCTTTCAGGTACATTGGTACAACTTCTTTAGGGGTGTTGGTTGTAGCTGTGTTGGTCTAAGGATATAGGCACACAAGGTTCTTTGGGTAAATGAAATATCTCTTATTAGACCAACCGTTTGTACCTGAAAGATTGCAAAGAACAATTTTCCCAACTATTTTGTTGGTACAACTCCTGTGAATTTCAACAGAATTACACTGTTGTAAATTGAGAGTAAAATGATCCACAGTGCAGAAAGGATTAATGAAACACAGCTGAAGTATCCTATTGATACACTGGATGTAACATGCATAAAATACTCAAAAACAAAACAGATCCCTAATTTTCAATGGATATTTTTTCCCGGGAAAGTTACAAGCTTATTTTCCACCCTTGTTTTCCATATCTATACACACACTACATATTATATGGAACCAATTTTCCATGAGTTGCAATTGCAGCAGGCGGCTCCCTGATCTGATGCTGCCAACTCCAGATAGAGAGGGGCAAGTAATAGCCAGTGATGTTCAAGAGGCAATGGGTTCAAGAGGCACCTTTTTACTTTTCTGGTGGAGAATTCTCCTTCACATCGAGAACTGTCATAGTAGCTGTGTCCACATGCTTTAAATGGATTTGGCATTTCCTTTCATATTGTAGTGCAAAGTGGAGCTAGTGGATGAGAGAATGCATCCTTCTGCCGTTAGAAGTGTTTGGGCCAGTTGCTCACTGTATCTCCCAGGTTTCGGTGGAACTCTGTTCGTTTACCCTAGCTGAAGTTCTTGCTTATATTGCCTAGGCACATAACGTTTTTCAAAGGTAGTCATATGGAGTCTGTCAAAGGCGTTTGACAATATATCTAAGTCTTAAAAAATGTAAAATACAATTGCTGTAGGATAGCTTTTCAAATGAAGATTGAGTAACACTTTCTTTGTATTTTTAAGCTTCCAGACTAAAACCTTGCTTCCAGTGTAAAGGAAAAAAAGGAATAGGGAAAATTTAAGGAAGAAGAAAGACTTCTGTATGGTTCAGGATAATGCATGCTGATACAAGTGCATACTCAGGCTACAGTTCTTGACTACAAGTGGCTCATTAACATACCACCTGCAGCTTTTCACAGACAATCTTGCAGAGGTGTTGTTTTCTGTACTGCATGCACTGGGCGTGTTGTTTTTGTGCAGTTGTGAATAATGCAACATTCTGTCTAAGAATATTAAATAATGTGCTGCTGTTCTTCTGCTGCACTGCACTGTCCACCACTGTTCATTTGGAAGTGTAGACGTATGCTGTGGCTCTTTTGTTAACGCTGACTGCTCATATGTCTGCAGCCAGTCAGGACTTAATCTCACTGCTATTAGAGGGCGTAGTTTGATAAAACAGAAGGATTCATCCTGTGAGCGGGTGTGGGCATATCTTTGAGTTACAGACTAGTACCTACTGGATAGGCATTGCCAATGGCAAAAGTCACTATTATAATGAGAACTATTCTAGGCATCTCAGAAACGTGCCACACACTCACGGTAAATCACAGACAGTGAACCCCATGTATTCATGTGGGTGTTTTCTCCCAGTTTGCACAGCCACAGCCAGGGCCAGATTAACACATCCAGAGGGGCCCAGTTGTGCTTATTTTATGTATTATAGCTACTGAGTGAAAAAAAAATAGTATATATACAGTAGTAAGTAAATATTCACAAGCTTGTTTGCCTACGGCCAGCACCGTACTTATGGCAGCCCTGGGTGAGCCCCCTCCCCCCCCTTTTGCCGGAGCTAATGATAATAGTAATCATTATTTTCACCATTTTCAGGCCCCCTTTCTGTCCAGGCCCTGGGCACCTGCCCAGTTCACCCACGCCTGTGTCTGGCCCTGCCTAGGGCCCGCTAAAAGGTTTATCCGGCCCTGGCCAGAGCCTCTTCTGTGCAGCACCCTGCTCCTGATATGTAGATGTTTGGTTTTGCAAAAGGGGCCGGGAATTATGCTGAAACACAGAGCCAGGCAAGTCAAGCAGCTTCCAAAAACACATGGCGCAGCACATCCATCCACCTCCCAGCCTGCTCGTCATACTTAGTCCCGGGCTTGTGTTTGATTTCATTGTGCTTTACTGCTATGGCCCTGCGCTGGACCTGGGATGGCGAATGTCAGCGAGATTTCCCAGCGGCTGAACGTGCCCTAGACCGCGGCGGGGGGAACCGGCCACCCCCGGGCTGCTCGCGCCGGGCCGGGCTCCAGGCCCGCCTTCTCTTTGCTGCGGGGCGGGAGGGAGGGAGTCACTGCAGCGCACGTGGCGGAGGTACTGCAAGGAGGAGGGGTGCTGCTGGGCTCCCAGGCGGGAGGCCCTGGCGATGCTGAGGGATGAGGGGGATTCCAGGTACTTCTTGCAGCTGGAAAACAGGAGGAGGAATGTTTTCGTGACCCAGCTCGGGGAGCACAGGTAAGGGAGCTCACTGGCACCCACGCTGTATGCCCTCCAGTCTGAAGTCCAAAAAAGGGTGTCTAAGGTGAAGGTGCCTGTGAGAGCTGATTGTCAGAACCGGGGTTCTCCTGACCTGCCTGTTGCTAGGCAGTTCAGGGCGAGGAAGTGAACCGGGTGCTTTGTCTAAGATAAACCCGTCGGAGTAACTCCCAGGCCTGTGCTTGTGCAAGGAAGCTGCATTCAGCCTGGACTTCCAGAAGCTGAGAGAGTCCCCTGGAGGATGCTTTGAAGCCAGATGGGTTGGTCAGACTGAAGCTGTCTTTCTCAACCCTAAAACGTGCTTTGCTGCCCCTTAGCAGATCTCTACATTTACTGTGTTTGGATCTGTGCTGCAGAAGTCAGTACGATGGGTTGTCAGCTAAACTCAGAAGTTATAGAAGATAATATGGAGCCTATCAAAAAACCTACCATGCATAATGTGACACAAATGCACAACTGGTTGACTCCGCCCTGGAAACGTCTAAGGCAGAGCTGGGAAATGCAATACATGCAGCTGCTGCATATGGATGTGTCTCCCTAATCCTGCTGTCCAGCTCTTTGTAACGTGCCCATCGTTGTGGTATCTGCCATCATAGTGTAGTTTTGACATACCTGCTTTATCTTAGCAATTTTTGTTCCATAACCCCCTACCTATCATATCTCTGACTTACTGGCTATCTGAAAGAGCATAAAAGTATTTTTGGCGGCAATTTCTTTCTTACAACAAACCCTTTCGAAAGAATTACAACATGCCAGACATGCCTATTAGTTCTAGTTCAGGGCCATGTCTATTACTCTGTACTCAAAGATTCCAGTCCCAGTAAAACAGGGCTCAGGATGTCTAAGATTTATGACCCCAAACAGAACAACATGGAAAATGAAACTTGTGGCACTTACAGTAGGATTAATTCTGTAATAGAAACCTACATTTTCAGCCCAAATCTGTCTGACTCATTCTGGCCATGGGAAAGTCAGTTAACTGGGCCATGTCTCATTTTTTCTGCCTGTAAAACAAGAGTCCTATCCATCTATCCAACCAACTGGATGGATTCAAGGAGCTAATAATACTTTTGTTTTCTATAAAATGATTGTGAGGAGCATTGAGTTAATATTTTTTACAATGTTTGATTGGGGACACTAAAGAGAACACCATTTGTTTAGGAAAGTGCCCAGAAACCTTTAGCTTCCACACACATTAAGTATCATTCAAGGGCCCTCACACTCTAAATAACACTGAACTCAATCGTGTACTATAAAAAGATGAAAATCTATTTGGATTTAAATCTGTGGATTTAGAAAAATTAGGTATTTTAAACTTAAGCTGGACTGAAGCTGAACTAAACTCTTAACTGCATAATGAGTATATGGCACATATACATGCTATAAATGTAAAGTATCAGTCGAAAGCCATCTAGATAGATAGATGGCTTTTAACTGATATTTTACACATAAAGTATGTATATGTGCCATATGGCTTATATATATACCTTACGTGTAAAATATTAGTATATGTGTGTATATATATGTGTGTGTGTGCGTGTGTTGTGCATATGCACACACATACATGTGCATGTATGGGTGTGTATATGCATATATATACACATGCATATGCACGTATACACATACATACATATAGAAAGAGTGGCTAGCCAAAGAAGTGGGTACAGTCCATCACTGCCTGAATAACAATACTGTCCACTAGCACAGCACAGCACAGCAGCCTCTAACCTTTATTGTAACTACCCACTAGAAGAAATTGTGATAATGTATACTCAGCACGGATAGTACAACTGCACTGTAGGCAGTAGAGTTACAAATCCATATTTTCAAAGAAGGAATTTAATAGGAAAAACTCAACTTCTGTCCAAAACTTCCCATACAAGGTTTGAATCTAGGAGCATATTCTTTATTTATTTTTAAACATCAGGCCTGCTTTTAAGTCAAATGAACAGAAATAGATAAAATGTATCAATTTTGTGTTCTTGCATTCAAATGAATCCCAGATTTAATAGAAATGTTTATGTTAAAAAACTTTTGAATCCACCAGAAAGTGTTCTAAGCAGTTGCAAACATCATTATAAAAATCAGAGTTAAACTTGTGTCATCATTAATTTGCATATTTAGAAACACCGTTTAAGCCATCCACTTTTAAACCTTTATTAGGAGTTTAATACAGGCAAGGGGGTGATTGGACATGAGTATAGCTTCATGAGTTCAGTGGATTCATACCAGATTCATATCAGCTAACTGAGATGGAGGGTTATTCAAGTTCTCACATGATTAGGTATAATCATAGAATAATGGTAAAATAGGGCTATTAGGGAGCTCAGGAGGTCATCCAGTCCCCACTGTAGACAGAATCACCTCTGCCTAAACCATCCCAGCCAAAGGTTTGTCTAACATACGCTTGAAAGCTTGCCATGACAGGTTCCATACAACCTCTCCAGGTCATCTGTTCCAGGGCTTAGTTAGAAAGTTCTACCTAACAGTAACCTAAATCTTGTGTGTTGTGATTTCAGCCCGTTACTTCTTGTCCTGTCCATTGTGAACACAATTACAAAGATATTTATTATTTTTAATATCTCAGTATAAAGTCAATAGGTACCCACTATTAAAAAGATCAGAATAAACCTGAAGGCTGGGAACTATGCCTGGAGTATCAGTCTTTTTTTACCAATATGTTGGTTTTATTAAAGGCAGCAGTCGAATAACGTCCTGACTCTCACAAGCATGGAACAATATTGGTGCAGTCATTAGCAGTGCAGTCATCCTCAACCAGGAAAAAGGCACACCAAGGACAAGTAGAAGCCCTGCAATACTGCCTTTAGACTGCAGGTGGTATTTGAAGCACCAGTGATTAGTCCCTCTGCTCTAGGGAAAGACAACAGAAGAGATGATAAATTGCTTCCAAATGGCTTTATGAACAGAAAGCCAGTTAATGTAGTTCTTGTTCAAGCAAAACTGAAAGCCAAAAGATGCTTTGTACAACATGACAATGTGAAAACTGAGTAAGAATCTCAGGATTTGATCAATACTCTGTGTGTGTGTGTGTGATATTCCTTGTGCTGAGCTATGGAGAGTCCTGATTAAGCCTATCGTTTATTTTCCCAGGGAAGAAGAGGATAAAGATGTCACTTATATCCCCATCATCAATGAGGTTGGTTGTGTCCTTAATGCCTATTCCTTTGTGTCTCAGAATATCACAGGGAGTATAATTATCTCCTCATTTGAGAGCTATGTCTTAATTCATAAACCAGGTATTGCCAACAGGATGGTTGGTCTGTATCATCCAAGCTTATAACAACTGTTTCCACCTATATGGACGGTGTATAGACCTCATCAGGGTTAAGACATGTTGCTATAGCTCTGGAGAAGTGAGTTAGAGATTCTCTCTGGACTTTTGCCAACGTAAAATCCTTTAGGTACCTGGCCATTCAGACTGGAGAGTCTGAGGTAGCTGGATGTGATGCTAGCCATATCATTCCCTTGTGTGCTGTCTGGGTGGAAGTTTAATTTTTTGATAGCCCTCATGCTTGTAGTTTGGTAGCTCTGTGAGCTGAGACCCTGGCAGGTGTAAGTGCCCACCCTTTTTCTACAAGGGTGATTACACCCTACACCTACAAGAGCACTTACACCCTTTTTCTACAAGGGAATTACCACAGTTCTGTGTCTCAGTGACTGAGGTATTGTAATAACAAAGCTCAAGAAAAGCACTTAAAGGGATGCTGCACACAGTCAGCCCAGAGTGTCTGTTCAAATGTAACATTATCAGCCCTGAGAAAGCCAAGTCATGCAGTTCTATATGTAGGGGACTTTGGCAAAAAAAAAATGCCAGAGGGCATGTTTCCCATGAACAGCACTACAGTAAAAAAATAGAGATGGCACAAAGAAACAATATATATTATGGTTAAAGAAATAAATTTCAGTTTCAAGCCTTCAACAATAGTGGGCCCAATAATGTCATCTCCAGTTATGAAAGACCAGTGCTAATCTGAATGTGAATCTTGCTGTTGATTTCACTAGCGAGAGAATCAGGTTTTTTAGTAAGGGCTTCCTGACTGGTCTGAGAAAAGTGTTCTTAAGTGCAATAATGATCTCTTAAGAATGTGGTGACACTCCTCATTTTCTACCTCAGCCTTCCACTTACTTGTGGTTGGGATTTTCTTTCATACTCTAACACCTGCACAGAACTGTATTTTCCTCTTGGTTCTCACTGTAATGACAGTCCTACATTGCAGATCCATATCTAGCCCCATGCACTCCATGGAAGTGTTGGCTTACTTCTTACTGATATTTTTATCAGAAACATTGTATATGCAACACCGACTAATTGGCTGACTTTTCCCCAGTTCTTGGATTCTCTGGTCCAACATGAACAAGAATTCTGCTTCTCTCATCTATACCAGCCTAACTCCACTCATCTCAATGGAATTATTCCTTCTTTTACCTGAGTAAGAAGGATGAAAACTAAACACTAAATATATTGTTTCACAAGCAAGACTGAGTACTTGAAATTATTATCTAGAAGGAAATAAATACAACCCATCTGATATGTAAAACCCCATTCACTGACACTTAGACTGCCTATACATGTGCTCAGGGGTTGGGGAGCACGTTTTTATTA